TAATAATAAATATTGAAATTTTATCACGAAAAATGATTTTAAAAAATTGCTTCTACAGACACTTTCAATTTTTCTTAGAAATAGATAAATTCATTTATTACCTTGTTTATCTAAAAGAGAAAGACGAAAATTCATTTGAAAAACACAAATATTTATTTTATTTGGGTCTGTAATGAATAAAAAGCGACAAAGCACCATTTTTAAGTGCATTTTTAATATATTTGTAATAATATGTAGCCAAAAAAGTAGCCTAAGTGCCAAATGATAATTTTTACGTCAAAAAAAACTTAGCTGCATTTGGCGCAATCTAGCCAAATCTTGCAACGGTGGAAGAAATACTAAATAAAGCTGGAGTTGTGAATCAGTGGGTTATAGACCCAAATGCGGGGAAAGGAGAGAGAGGGCAAAAGATAAAGAAGTGAGAAAGGTTGGAAAATTAAGTGTCTATATTTTCGTAACAGAAAATCTATTTAACCTTTCTCACTACTTTTTATCTTTTGTCTTTTCTCTCCTTTCCCTCCTTCCCCCAAATTTGGGTCTATAATCCTTTGAGTCACAACTCCAGCTTTATTTAGTAATCCTTCCTCATTCACACATCTTCAAGTATTTGAAAATATTTCCTTTCCACTCAAAATAAAATATGAAGAAAGGTTTACAACTTTGTAAAACTTTTTTTTGAGTTTATGCTGTTGAAATAAATAAATAATAAAAAATTAAAACATTTGTTGGTTTTGTTTACACGTTTATTGGGCCACATTGGAACTTGCCTTGGGCTGCATGTGGGCCGTGGGTTGGACACCCCTGGTTTAAATTATTGATTACATTCATTTGATAAACTCTTATGTTTCATTCAAATATTATTTGACTGTGAAAGTTTTACAATAAGCATGTTAGATTTTTTTAAGGATTTGTATCAGAAATTTAATTTTGAAATTATTTTAAAGTAATAAAAAAATGTAGCGATTTTGATATATATAAAAGTTTAATATCTGATTAGTGATGTTATGAATTTCTGAATTTAATTTGTTTCACTGTGTTGCGTAATACAGTAAACCCCACCAACTTAATTTTACATATCTTGGACAAATTAAAAAAAAAAATTGTACTGTAATTTAAAATTTTTGGACAATAGAAAAAGTATAATTAACAAGTGTTTTTTATTATCTGGAATTTTTTGTGATACTGTGCTTTATAGTAATTGTAATTGATAAATTATTAAAGACTATAAATTGCTATATACTATACTGTCACAAAATTTTCTGAGCTCATTTCTTATAATAAATTCAGTAGTGTAACCCTACTAAAGTGCAGTAAAGCTTCTGTATAGAGCTAATTGTAATAAATTACTCTATTGTAAATTCACTTTCTAATTTTCTGTGTTGTCAGAGAAAACATCTTGCTAACTTGGACTTTTGTAAACTCTGACAATCTTCATCCCCTATTAATATGAGTTAGCAAGGGCTTTATTGAATTTATGCTTAAGAACAATTTTGAAAAATTCAAACTTAGTTTTCTTTAATGAAAGTTAACTACAAATTAGACTTAATTTAAATATAATATAACTAATTTTAGAAATTATTTATTTGTATACTAGTTGCTTAGGCCTGGCTCCAGCCATTGAGAGGACTTAGTTCTTTAAGTATTTAATTATCAAAGTAATTTTAAAAGTTTTGGAAAAAGTATTCATGAAAAGAAATAACTTGGGAAACATTTACATATATTAATTTACAAAACTAATTTATACACAATATTGTCTTTTTTTCTTTTGCATAAACAAACAAATTTTTTGGCAAGCCACTCATGAACAGGTGTTGTACTGTACAACTGGCTATGACCAAAGTATAGAGTCTGTAAATAAACTTCTGTAAATTTGAGTGATTGTCCTTGTGATTTTGATAGTTATGGCATAAGATACCCTGATAGAAAATTGTAGTTATTTAAAATAAAATGATAAATTTGTTCAGATAATGGGTATATGCAGAATAAACATGCCTTCTCACTTTGCACAATCAGTAATAGTTGTAGCTTCTGGAAAATTTACAAAAATTCTACAAAATTTACAAAAGGTTTTTAATGCAAACATATGTATTGTTGCATAAATGTGGCACACTTAAATTCCTCAGTAGCATAATAGTACAGCCTTTTTTTTAATGAGAGTATATATGGAGGCATACCACTTTGTTGTATACTATCCAAATACTCAGTTGGGTATAAAAAGTCATTATCATCTTCCATAATAGTGTCAATTGATTTTAAGTACATGAACCATCAGGTATAATGTTTAAAATTTTTTGTTTTATCAGATCCACATTATCATTATTTGGTGCAAGACTTGCTCATTCACTTATCCAATTATGATTAGTATAATTTAACACAAAATCAGGATAATTTTAGAAATGAAATAATCTTCATTGCTAATGAATGTACAATAAAGATGATTATATGTGCATACTTTAAGTTTTTCTTTACTATGTAAGAAATAAAATACATGTGAAAACCTTCCATACACTTAGTGGAATAAGTATGCTAATTTTTGTGAGAATTGGTTCAACCACTTTTGATAAAGTTCAGGACCAAGAATTTGAATTTTTTTATATATATAAAAATTTTTAGAAATGAGTCTAATACAGGGGTGTCCAACCTTTTTGTTTCTCTGAGCCGCGTTGGAAGAAGTCAAGGAGTTTTGGGTTACAAGTATATATAATATATACTTGTGGCCGAATATACAAGTATATTTAAGGACTAACATGTGTAGATTGTAATAATAAATATTGAAATTTTATCACGAAAAATGATTTTAAAAAATTGCTTCTACAGACACTTTCAATTTTTCTTAGAAATAGATAAATTCATTTATTACCTTGTTTATCTAAAAGAGAAAGACGAAAATTCATTTGAAAAACACAAATATTTATTTTATTTGGGTCTGTAATGAATAAAAAGCGACAAAGCACCATTTTTAAGTGCATTTTTAATATATTTGTAATAATATGTAGCCAAAAAAGTAGCCTAAGTGCCAAATGATAATTTTTACGTCAAAAAAAACTTAGCTGCATTTGGCGCAATCTAGCCAAATCTTGCAACGGTGGAAGAAANAGATCTTCTGTCAAGTAAATATGGATCCGTAATTTTTCAAACTTTTTCACTTCTTTATCTTTTGTCCTTTGTCTCTTTTTCCTGCACTTGGGTCTATAATCCTTTGATTCACAACTCCAGCTTTATTTAGTATTTTTTCCAACGTTGCAAGATTTCGCTACATTGCGCCAAATGTGGCTACTTTTTTTTTGTTTGATGTAAAAAATATCATTTGGTGCTTTGGCTACTTTTGGGCTACATATTATTTATATTAGTTGAATAAAAATGCACTTTAAAATGGTATTTCGTTTCTTTTTATTAATTAGAGACAAATAAAACAAATATTTGTTTTTCAAATAAATTTTTGTCTCCTTTATAATAAATGAATTTATCTATTTCTAAGTAAAAATTGAAAGTGTCTGTAGAAGTAATTTTTAAAATATCCTTTTTCTTGATAAAGTTTTAATACTTTTTATTATAATCTAGACATGTTAATCCTTAAATATACTTGTATATTGAACCACAAGTATATACAGGTATACCTCGACTTACATCGTTTCGAGTTACGTCGTTCCCGATTATACGTCGCTTGTTAAAAAAGTATATGGAAAAATAAAAATCAAGTTTAAGTCATTTTATTCGACTTTACGTCTGTCCGCCACAAATATTGAAGTCGTAATATCACTAGATAAACGTTTAAAGCACATAAAATCATATTAAAATATATACAAGTATGTACTGTATTTACAGTACACGCGTTCGTAAATTTAGATTATTTTTTTTGTACTATATTAAAAACTAAAATTTATTTGTTTGTAAGCTTAAAATAGATTTTTATTAACCATATATTATTTAAAATGCTTTCCTAGTGATAAGTAGATTCGGAGACAGGTAAATTCGACTTACGTCATTTTCCTGGAACCAATTACCGACGTAAGGCGAGGTATACCTGTATTATATTACAGTACTTGTGGCCAGTGGCGTAGCGTGGGTGTCAGCCGCCCGGGGTGGAGGAAAATTTCACCTCCTCCTTATTTAGTAATCTCGATTTAAAAGACTAAAATTCAATTTCATCACAGAATAAGTAATGAAAAATTCTGTGCTAGCGTTGCCACCTTCTTAAAATCGCTGACCTGGACAGCAGGTGAGGTTTGTTCGAACAGAGGTTCCTGACGCATGCGTATATCATTTTGCAATGCGAAGAATAATTAGCAGTGCATGCCGGTTCTAAATCAGTTACAGTTAGTGACTAGGGAGACTTGGATAGGAGTAACGCAAGTGACATAGCTCTATTGGATATTGGAGGTGTATATGATTACAAATGAATCGCACAATCAAAGAAAAAAAAAACAAAAAACAAAAATAAAAAAAGGTCAACAGGTTGTGCACGATATCCCCGGACGGTGAGTCAATTCGCGGACTATCTGGATGGATGGTAACACTATTGCCGTGCTCATTTCAATCAGTCCGAGTCGTAGGTGGACGAAAATATGAAATAAAATGGTTCAAATTCTTACAAGATATTATTATTATTTATTGTGAAATTTTGCCGCCCCCTAAAAAGTGCCGCCCGGGGCGACCGCCCCTGCCGCCCCCCCTACGCTACGCTACTGCTGGTGGTTCAAAACTCCTTGACTTCTTCCAATGCGGCCCAGAGAAACAAAAAGGTTGGACACCTCTGGTCTAATACATTGCAAAGATTTATTATCAATTATTTTGTTACATTATATTAATTATTAACAAAACAGTGATTTAGCATATAATTGCTATTAATTTGCTGAAAATATGGTATTAAGTACTCATTTGAAATGATGATGAAAAAATTTATTTGAAATAAACATATTTTTACTTCAAATACTATTAATATAACATTATAATTTTTAAGATATGTTTAATTAATTACTTTTTTTTATGAAATTTTTCAGATTATGGTCATTGGTAAATTGTAATATTAAAGTGCCTTTTTTAGAAAGTCTTAACATAAAAATATCAGAAGCAATGAGTACTTTAGGAACACAATTAGATGCGAGTGAAGTTTTGGCAGCTGCATTAGAACAGATGGATGGCATTATTGCAGGTAAATTATGATATTAAGCCATTGATTTGATTTGAAAAAATTAATTTTTAATTAATTTGTTTAATGACTTTATGCATTATGATATTCTTTAAATCTTTTTCAAAAATATAGTTTTTTAAACAATTTTAGGTAATTGTTGTAAATTCATATTTTTTAACTGTTTGTATTGCAATGCTTTAGGTGTTTACTTTTTCATTTCATAAAAATTATTTTCTTTCACCAAAAGCAGAAAGGTTATCATCACTCATTAGAATATACTTTTTACAAAAAATATAATTTCTAAAAAATTATCTTTAGATAAACAAGTAAATATAAAACACTCTTTCTTAAACTGAAACGCGAAATCGGTTTAAGAAAGAGTGTTTTATATTTACTCGTTTATTTTATCTAAAGATAATTTTTTAGAAATTATATTTTTAGAAATTTCACCGATCCCATTGTTTTATATTTTTATTGATCAACAATTATAATACTTTTTACATTATGTATATATTCATTGAATGAAAAATATACTGTGCTCCAAAATATATTTAGTAAAGAAAGTACTGTACATGACAATTGATATTTATATACTAACTACACTATATAAAGCAGTTAGAATATAATATAAAAATATATAAGGAACTAAGTTGTCTTCATTTCCATCATGTCCAATCACCAGGAAAAAAAGCAGTCTTCCTTTGTAGAGATGACCTTTTATTAGAGGTTATGCTTCTGTAAAATTACGTAAAACATGACAGAAATTGAAAACAATTTAGTTTTTTTTATATGTTTTATATTGTGAAAATACCATTTACTTTTTTAATTGAAGTTAGAATGTAAATTTCAATTGTAGTAGTAATTAAAATGAAAGTATTTTTCTTCCTTAAATGTTTATTTATCGTTATACAGTATTAACAAAGATAGAAATTATTTTTTAAAGTAGGAAATTCAATTTTTTAAAATTTTGTTTTTAACTCTTACTAATATTAATAAAATGAATTATAGATTAATTTCCTGATGTAATAAGTCATGAACAAAATGCAAAACAAAGTGAAACCAAAATAAATAATTATGTAATTAAACATCAGTTTATAAAATACTGTATTTCCTCAATTCTAAGATGTACTAAAAGTTTGAAATTGAATTTTAAGATTTTTTTTTATGAAGGAAAAAGTTTAATTAACAAGAAATGAAAAAAAATGACAGAATTGTCATGAGACAGTGATGTTTGGTAGTTTTACTTCCATGCTCTTCTGTGTGTAAATTAACTATTCATTTTAATGCAGTATTATAATGTTGTCTTCAAGCTATTTTAGATGTTAAAAAGGAGTTAAGATTAAATGCTCTTTACCAGTACATTTAAATGATATAACTGTTGACCAGCAATAGCTAAAAATATCATACCACCACAGATCTGCTTGAAATGTCTTCTGATTGTTGTTTTTGAATGAAGATGTAAGGCATCATTGATTCCAAGATGCAACTCTATTTTGAAGAAGCAAAAATGCATTAAAAAATGTATCTTAAAATCAAAGAAATACAGTAATTTAAAAGAATATAAAATCACATTATGACATGCATTTTTTAAAAATTAAAAAATATATATTACAAAAATAATACATTAAAGAAAAGTAAATAAAATATAAATAATTTAAAATGTGCTTTCTCAATCCTAATTTGCACCTTTTTTCAGACTTTTCTGTGATTTAAAATTGGGATGCATGTTAGAATTGGTCACAGAGCCAACTTAATGCAGCTTCATTTGTATCATTTGCTTCTCACTTCACTTGGCAATTTACATGTATTACATTGTCAGTATAGATGTGGTATATATATCCCTTCCATTATGTTGTTTTGGCTTTGGAATTGCTTGGTTGTCTTTGAACTACAGCAAGCTGAGTGAATGATGTCTATAAGTGGATCACCTGTGAAGCTAAGTTTCAGTAGAAAGCTGCTCACTATACTGAAGAATATGTATACTGATATTTCAGTGTGATACTATGTATCTGGAAAATTTTATGTTTTTGCATACCATTGTGAAGTCTTGCTGTTAAAAATGTTGATTGTACATTAATTTTGACTGTGATTTTGTGTAGTCTGCAGATTTTTTGTACCTGAAAATGAAATATTATACTCTATAAATGAATATTATTGGAAACATAAACATTGTAAAGCACTGTAAACCTGACAGTAAACACATTTATTTATTTTGTTTTTAAAAATGCATTTATTAGCATGTTTACAGTTTATCATTGTTTATTGTCATTTATAACATAACTTTTTTTAGGTTTTGACATCTCAAAAGTCAAGTGTGCATTAGATTTGATGGCAAATATGATTCTATTAGAATAAAAAAAACAAAGCAAAAGTAAATAAGGGTATGTGTCATCCCTGGTATGTGTTAGGGAATTGGTTTCAAGATCTCTTAGATACTAAAATCTCCATCTCTCAAGCAGCCCCTTATATAAATTGGCATAGTATTTCATATAACCTATGCACATCAAATATACTGTAAATCATCTCTGGATTATTTATAAAATCTAATAAAATATGTAAATAGTTGTTAAACTGTGTTGTTTAGGGAATAATGACAAGAAAAAATTTGTACAATTCAGTACAAATGCAATAGTTTATTGTAGGTATAACTATATAGTACATGCCAGCAATGTACAGACAAGAATCTGTAAGGGCTGAAAAAACAATGTAACATTTTTGTTTTTTCAGTCCTTACAGATTCTTTCAGGTCATTAAACAAAAGCAGAAATACATAGAATAAAACACAGAATTTTTAAAATAAAAACAAATTCAAGTTTTTTTCTTGGAACTGTCTGGACATACTTTTTTGTTTTCAAATATTTTCATTTGTGGTTGGTTGAATCTGTTCTAAAGATATATATTTTACATTTATTTAACTTCAATATAAGGAGTCTTGTTTTTTTAATTATTTTGACTAATGGAGTTAGTTTATTAAGAATGACATTTTATCATTCATTGTAAATTTTAATTAATTAATATTTTATTGTTTATTAATAATTGGTACACTGAAAATGTTAATTATTAAAATATTATTTCTTTATTTAAACTAATTTTTAAAAATTAAATATAAAATCATATATAGTATTACTTAACATCTTTTGGAGATTTATATTTTGCACTTGTATATTAAAATTAATTGCTTATTCAGTTAATTTGAAAGAAATTTTTTTTTAAATTAGAGATATCATTAAACTCTTAAAAATTCTTCAAATAATGTTGTAGATTGTTATTACATTTCAACTTTTTTAACTGTTTTGCTGATTAATTACATTATTTACTAATTAATTAAAAATGTTTCAAGAATGAATTGTTATTGTCTTTAGCACAGTTATAATGTACATAGATACCAAAAGAAAGTTCTAAACAAAATTAAGATTGTCTGTTTTCTTTAATTACGAGGGCCATCCAGAAAGTAATGACCCATTGCACATTTCGGCTGCACAGTTTGTTCTCGGGCTACTATTCAAGGTCGAATAGTTTCCTTGTCGTTTTTTTCAGTGTTGTGTGAGTGCTAGTCGAAACAAGTTGTTATTGTGCATTCTGTGATTGTCAACAATAAACAATGTGATACAAAATCCTGCTGACTGTGAGGTCAGAGGCATTGTTCAATTTATGCATGCTCGAAAGTTGAAACCTGCAGAAATTTACCATTGACTAAAGGAAGTGTATGGTGATACAGTAATGAACAGAAAAAAATGTGAGAAAGTGACGTGAAATGTTTAACAATGGACGAACAAATGTGCATGATGAAACTCGACCTGGATGTCCATCACTCATCACAGATGATTTGAAGAATCAAGTGAAGAACAAAATCATGCAAGACAGATGCATAACCTTGGACGAATTACACATTTCTTTCCCTAACATTTTTTGTTCTTTGCTTGGTTAAATTGTTTTTGAATATCTTGGCTACAGCAAGATTTGTGCACAATGGGTTCCTCAGCAACTGGCCAGCATAGAACACAGAGAATGGGTGCAGCACTGACATTTTTGATGCGGTATCACGCAGATGGAAATGCCTTTCTTGATCAAATTGTTACTGGCGATGAGACTTAGTTACATCCGACTACAAGAAAAAATCTGGCAGTTAAAGTGGGGCAACACCATCCATGTCAATAATCAACAAATACATCATCAAGAGTTAGAACGACCAGTCCAATTTGCTGATACTGAACACCCTGCTTCTCTTAAGAAACTAAACTTCTTGCGACCTGATGATGCTGATATTCAAATCTTTACAGATGGATCTAAGACCAATTCTAATGTGGGCAGTAGCTATGTGGTCTACCGGGACAATGTGGACTGCCTCAGGGCAGTTCAAGCTTGGTGCCGGCTGCACAGCCTTTCAGGCTGAAATGTATGCAATCAAAATGGCCGTTGCCTGGTCTGACTCAAATTATACCAATACTAAAGTGTCCATCATCTCAGGCAGTCAATTTTCTATAGCTCTGCTCAATAGTCAAGCTTCTCACCCTATCTCAGCCAGTATCGACGACATCATTAACAACTCCAATAATATCTGTCATGTCAGCTGGACTCGTGCCCATCAGGGCACATTTGGTAATGAGAGGGCTGACATACTTGCAAAGACTGCCAGTGAAGACGACAATCTCCGGATCTGCTATAATAGCCCTACCATTAAAACCATCAAGAATATGCTTTGGAAAAACCTACTTCAGCAGTGGCAACATGATTGGAACACGCTTAACCATCCAATTGCTCACAAATTTATTCCCAATATTGAACTATTTCTCTCAAACAATTGGTACAAACCATGTCATCGTATGTCTCAATTTTTAACAAATCATGGCAGGTTCCAGTCTTACCTGGCCAGATTTATTGGAGCTGCAAACTCTGATTGTCCTCTTTGTGGTGTGGACGACAGCTCGGATCATTATATCTTCAACTGTCCTATGTTGGATCATGAAAGGCACTTCCTGCGGTCCTCCATGGAGGCGCACGGATACCGCTGGCCCAATGAA